AGGAGGAAGAGGCTGTTCTCCAAAGAACGTGAGTCGAGCTGGGGCAGAAAGCCCTGCCCAGCCCTGACGGGCTCACCGAAGCTTTTAAGGGTGGTGTCCTTCTGCCAAACACAGCCCTGAAACGCTGAGGGGCCAGTTCCGAAACTCAGTTTTCCTTGGCAGAATAGCTGCTCGCTTTCTGTGCCCTGGCTGAAAGCTCAGAAAGCTGTCACGTTAGAGCCCCCCCAAAAATACTGCTCATGCATCTCCTGACCCTCAGTGTGCCACCAGTCAGTCACACTGTCAGCCACTGTTCAGCACTCGGTGGGCCTGCTTTTCTCTACAATACAGCACTAGGCTTTTGTTGGTGTCTGCCTACCGGCTTATTTCCTGTACAACAGCTTAATAATTGTCCTGCCCAGCAGGCAAGAGCACCATCCTGGTGCATGAATGCATAGGGTGGTGAGTTCTAACTAGGTGGGTGCTGCTGACGGTGCTGAATGGGTGAAAGAAGCCCCACGCTGAGTGTTTCTTTCTGCAGTAAGATGCATGATGTATGGATTCGGTGATGACCAGAACCCCTACACAGAATCAGTGGACATTCTCGAGGACCTGGTAATAGAGTTTATCACAGAGATGGTAAGTCAGCTCTAGACAGCATGGTCAAAACGTCCTCTCTGCAACTTTAGTTTTCTGAAGGTTAATATTTCTTACACAAATACTGCAGTATCCCAGGCCTAAAACTCTTGATGCTAGCAGCAAAATTATAGACTTTGCTCTCCCAAGATTAAGGCAGAATTCGTGCATCTTGCTCCATGTGGGTTCAGAACATTCTCCGAAGTCCTTAAGTAGCCGTTAGATTAGTATTGTAGGGAGGAAATACACAGCTGACTTTGGTGTTCATTGTGGCATCACCACATACATCTGACAACAGACAAGGGTCAGCTTTGAAAGTGTGTTGACTTTTTGTGTTCTCCCAGTGTTGTCATTGTGTCTATGGGAACGTAGTTCCATGCTACAAAAGAAACGCACACTTCAGGGGTCTGACCCCATTGCTTGTCTGGGTATTTGGATACTGTTTGAAAGTTTGTTTTGTTTTTTGAAAAAAAGTTATTACTACTATTTGTGGATCCCCTTTCTTTTGAAAGATTGGCCTTACCTTCCCACCATTACCTCACATTACTTCTAAATTCTGTCTGATGCTGTTCATCTTCAAGCACTTTGCAGCCTGGCTGTCCTACGTGTAATCTGGCTTTAGTTTTGATGCTGTTACTGTTATGTGTGTATAGTGGTACGTGCCTGGTGTAAGTGACAGGCAAATGGGGACACCAGCGCAACAAAAAGCCCATGGCTTACTGGGAACTTCTCTTGTGGCTAGGATGATGGTGCCCATCTTCTGCAATTGCTTACTTTTTGATTATAAAACAGCAGGAAATAAAGCAGAATTGAGAGCTTAAAAAGTAAAGGGCAAAGGAACCCTGTTGACTTTCTTCTTTTCCTCTAACAGACACATAAAGCCATGTCAATTGGGCGGCAAGGTCGTGTACAGGTTGAGGACATTGTCTTTCTAATACGCAAGGACCCCCGGAAGTTTGCCAGAGTTAAAGACCTCCTAACTATGAATGAAGAACTGAAACGAGCCAGAAAGGCCTTTGATGAAGCAAACTATGGATCTTGATTCTCCACGCAAGCTGCACTGGGGCATTACTTGAGTGCCTGCTGCCCAGAAGGAACAAATGTCATATGTGCTGTTCAGAGGGGTTATTCAGGATGGAGGTCACTGCTGGGATGTCTGGCCTCTCTCCCAGCCTTTTCTGACAAGTATTCAAGCAGCTGATTGTTACCTGCTTCTATGTGGTATACTTATGTATTTTTACACCATTTTACAAAATGAGAAAGGAACTCTAAAGGTTCTTTTAATAGCAGGAAGACTATTTGAAGTAAGACTGTATTGAATCAGGTATCTAGAGGGCTAATAATGAGTGATTGTCTACAACTGTTTCAGTTCTCATTGGGTATTCCTGTGACAGAAATAAACATAGAAAATGGATCTTGGTTAACTGGACAGAGTCTTCAAGCCCAATCTGCTATAGACGTTCTGTTCTTTGCTCTGTATATGCTTTTGAATAAAACATTTCAAGATTGTGCCCACTTCTCAAAACTAAACTTAGACTGATCAATCCACACAAGGTGCATAATACAGGGTTTTAGGACTTCATGGGCTAGGAAGGTTATTTTTTTCTTCTGTGGGAGTGGGCACAGCTATTTGTTTTCTATGAATATTACACCTAGGAAACGGAAGTTAACCTATTCCAGATTTACTTGCACTTCTGTCCTTTCCTTAGTTAATACATATGGGAGTAGCTGTGCTTTACATTGCCAATCAGGCTGAAACTACACTTAGCTGAGATGATTCCAGGACAGTGAGAAACTTGTTTGCTAGTCGGGAGTTCAGTTGCAGGCCACAGCTGTGCTTTCCCCTGGTTCTGGAGCAGCTAAGAAGTAGCAGATTCAGTTAAATTCTCATTTCAGGACAAGGATAACAAATGCTGAACAGCTGCAATACTGCAAGTCGAGGCTGTTTCCTACCCAAGCAGCACAGAAGGATAGAAAGAAGGCAGAGTTGCTGAATGCCTTCTTTGCCTCTCTCTACACTGTTGGAGGCTGCTCTCAGGTGCCTCAGTCCCCTGAGGCCCCAGAGGAAGTCAGGATAAAGGAGGAGTTTGCCCTGGTTGAGGAGGACTGGGTTAGGGATCGGTTTGAACACTTGAACATCCATAAATCCATGGGCCCTGATGGGATGCACCCACAGGTGCTGAGGGAGCTGGCGGGAGTCATTGCTAGGCCTCTCTCCATCATCTTTGGTAAGTCATGGGCAACAGGTGAGGTGCCTGAAGACTGGAGGAAAACAGACATCACTCCAGTCTTCAAGAAGGGCAGGAAGGATGACCCAGGTAATGACAAACTGGTCAGCCTCACCTCCATCCTTGAACATCTTATCCTTGGCACTGTCTTTAGGTTAAGAAGGTTATTAGGAGCAGTCAGCA